TAGCTCCATTCTGTTTATGAATCAGCTAACAACAATGTGTCATGTAAGAACTGAGCAGCTAATTGTCCAAATGCTTATAGTCTTTTCAAATTTAAGGGCTTTGTATAAGAAGAGCTGTAATTCCAACAGTGATGTCCTCATATTACAGCTGACAGCCATTGTTTCATTTCAAAATAACTGTATACAGCAGCGGTCACTAACCCTGTGGACCCAGGTAGGTCCTGCAGATCTACCTTCCTGCAGAATTTAGTTTCAACCAAACTGCCACACCTTCTCCAGCTAATTAGCTTCTTCAGAAGCCTCTGATTGGCTGGATCAGATGCTTTACTATCAGGTAAAGGGGAGGGGCATCATGTTAGATGCAGGTTGGAACTAATGCTGCGTTCGAGTTTGAGCCAGAAATTGGGAAATACCAGCTGACAAAGTCATATTTTAAACTGATAAACTCGGGATTCTAGATGATATGTGAGTTTGTGAAATGTAACCTATAATGCAACCATTCACCTTTTACTTGAGTGAAAAATGCTAAACTTGCAATGAATCGAAAAAAAAAATATATACACCTGATGTGCTTCTATTAAAACCATGTGCTTCTTAACCCAGCAAAGAGAAGGTAGGATATGCATTCATGCTTTTTTCCTGTGTGGTGGATCTACAGACAAGCACCCGAACGTATTTACTAGTCGTACTAACTAGTTAAAGTTGTATATATTAAGGTACATACAACCTTTTGATGAGCACCAGAATGCAGCATGAACCAAATTTGTTCTGTTGGTAATGAAATGCACTCTTTTCTCTGAACTGTGCGTCTAGATGTAATATTACATATACTGTCATTGATTTCACCTGTTGAAAATGAATAAAATGGCATATTATACTGTTAATGTTTAGAGATGTAACGATCTAACAAACAAATTTCAAAAATTAATTTGATGAGTAATTTGATTCGGGTGTTGTCTCGATACGATACATTGCTGACACAAAAATAAGTAGTTCTTAAGTTCACATGTTGATGTTTGCATGCCTGCATGCACCTGGGGCGTAACAATGTACAGATTTTCAGGCTCTGTATGATGTTCAATTCTGAGGTCAAGATTAAATTTGACTTTTGATATTTTGCATGTTAAAACTTCTATAGAGCTCTAATTGTTTTATACAGAGTTTGGTTTGGCTCAGATGTATAAAAGTTCTCCAGTACAGCTTTTTCAATGCCTGCCTGCTAACATAAAAAATCCTAAAAATCACAACCTCTAGCATTTATAATTGATTTACAAAAAAGCTTGGTCATTTGAGCATGGTTGCATGCCCTGCCCCCCCATCCCCCACTTCATTCTGATATAATGCAACAGTGCCTAGTTTTTGTCATTGACAGCTTCCAAGAAAGTTGCTAAATGAGGGACTCTCATTTATAAGAAATGAGGGAAGAAATGGGGGCAAAGCAGCATTAATTTTGAGTACTCTGATTCAAATTCAGTGTTTCGATTTGATTCAACTTATTTAAATCGCTACACCCTTAGTTACAGTTTAGCTGATATCAGGCAAAAATCAGACAGAAAGGAAGATTAATATAAAAGCACTTAGACACCAAAGAAGCACTTCTAAACGGATCAGTCTTAGCCTCGAAGGAAGTGAAACATGAAACATCCTCTGCCTCTATTTAATATGAGAGAATATATCTCAGCTCTGACTAATGCTGCCTGGCCTTGGTTTTGTGCTGAATGGTGTGCTGAATTGTAGGTGCAAGAATTGAGTCTGGATCCACACGATTAGATGAGGTCATAAGACGGCTGAAGCGTGACATTTTAGTTTTATCGTGACGCTCCGTCGTGATGAGGAATTTGGTGGGTGTGCAATGTTACCGCATCTCTCTCCTTCTCACAAAAAGCTAAAGGTGCGGAGCGCAGCCATGTGAAAGCGCAGTGTGCTCGCCACCCTGCAGGGAGCCATGTTGTGTAACTGCACTGCCTGCCCACAACCTGTTGAATCAAACACATGGCAACAGCAGAAGGAAATGGGTACAAATAAAATTCTTTCCTCTGACCAAATGTGACAAGCTTTCGAATCAGTGATGAGGTACGATCCTGTCACCTTCTTTATCAGAATGGGGGAAAGATTGAGGCTGGAGGATCTGTATCTTGAAGGATCTTGAAGAGTAGACGTGGCAGCGTCCCTGGGCTTGTTCACTGAAACACTAATGCTCAGAATGAAGAGCACTCTGAAATTTACTCCCTCAAACGCTTTGAGATGAGGATGTTTGGAGGGTCAGAGACAACCATAAATGTTTTATGAAACTAGAGGATGAGTTGACTTCACCTTCTGGTGTTTATGCAGTTTTTGTTTTGCCAAATCTCACTTCAGTGAACTCTGTGAACATCAACCGCACCAGATTTTCATAATTAAGGGGGAATTTCACCAATTTTTTCAACTGTAATTCAACCATTGAGATGTAAACAAAGTGGTTTGATGCAAAATGGTGCATAGTAGAGAAACTTACCCACTCAGATTTCTTAACAGTGGTGGCCATGGGAACCAGGGGTCACAAACATAGCCATTTTATTTTCAAAATACAAAATGATCAATAAACCTTTACATGTCTACTGAGTTTTATATGCAATACTGATAAGGGTAAAATAGTGGTAAATTCCTTACAATGCCCTGCTTGTATTGCCATGAATGGATTTTTAAAAATATGTTTTTTAAAGACCATAAAAACACTTTTTAAATGTTTTTTTTAAGTCTTATCTTACGACTAGCATAAAGCAATGTTTCAGGCATCAGGCAGCACATATGTGACCATTTCATGGAATAACTTTTTGTGAGGGAGCTTTTAGGGGCATTAAACTCTTTAGACGTCTGGTTCCCATCACCACCACTGTGAACAGTTTTGACTCTGTAAGTTTCTCCAGAATGGAGCGTTTCACACCAAACCACTCTCAATGACTTTGCTCACATCTTAACCGTTTAATTATGCAGAAACATTGAAAGGTCGGTTTTAAAGAACACTTCAGTGTTTTTCAACCTGATTTCTTTCTTTACCATAGTCTTTGTTTGTTGCCCCACTTATTACCAATGCAATGATAAATTTGAGTTTGATAAAACACATTAAGGCCCAATCCCATTTCACCCCTTGCCCCAACCACTTAGCCCTTAGCCCTCCATTTTGTGCGTTCAGGTCTAGGGGTAGGGTGTCCTGATTTTTGTTGAGATAGAAGCGTAGGGCGAAGTGTTAGGGTTACATGGCCCTCCAAACGGAGGTTTTTCAGAGTCTCACTCCAAACAGAGTGTTATGAGAAAAAAAGAAAAACTGACAAGATGGCAGCGCGAGCGACCAAAGAAACCCACAGATGTGAGTATTTTCTTAGTTAGATATCATTATAACCATTGTATTAGCTTAGTTTAATGTCATTTCAATGTATTACTGTCCTTTTCTTTATAACAGGCATAAAAATTGCTAAATAGATGCTGATGTCTCAGGAGCTAACTAGCTAAATTTCCTGTTCCACCTTAAATAGTCCAGCAGTGTTGACGCCTGAAGCGCCAGAATGTAACTGCTGCTCCATTTAAGGTCGAACGGAAAAAATTCGAACTTGAAGCTGGCAAACAGCTGACAGCTTCATATCACCGAAGAATTAGGGGTGGGAGATCATAAATAATTGTGGCATCCCCCCTCTTTGAAAGCATATGATGCCCTAAATTTAACTAAAGCCCAGCAGCGAGTTCGCTGAACTTTACCCTCCTCTGCTATCACTGCAGATTGGCAGGGTCGCCTACAGAGCACCGGTAGCAGCCAGTTAATTGTGTTCTTTTTTCATTTGAGGGTTGTACCATTTCGCCCTGCGAAAGACTGGCGACCTGTCCAGGGTGTATCCTGCCTTCCGCCCAATGACAGCTGGGATAGGCTCCAGCACCCCACCGTGACCCAGAAGGATAAGCGGTTTAGATGATGGATGGATGGATGGTTGTACCATTTCGTAGGTGAGGGCTTCAACCACTACCCCTTGTAACTCAGTTCCAAGGGGCAAGGTGACACTCAAAAACAAGGGGTAGGGGTAAAAATAACAAATGGGATTGGGCCCAAGAATCATACTAGAAGCTGCTGAATTTTGTGAATAAATGTTTGTCAGTAACTTGCGTTCTTTCAGACACGTGACTGGTTTTCCAAACGGACGAATTTCCTAAGACTTAGAGTGTAATTAAGTAATTAATAAAAATAAAGTTTTGATTTTGTGTTATATAGTCATGTATTTCACAAAGTTCAGAAGCTTCCCATTGGCTTCCATTAGTAGTGAGTTTTGAGTATCTGGGTTTTCTGCTCTTTTTTTGCTAAGTACAAGGAAATGTTGGAATTACTGTCCATGCTGTATGCTGCTGATGTCACACATGGTGATCAAGGTGAAAAACTGGAATATTCCTTTAAGGCAGTGGTCATCAAACTCTCCTCCTAGATCTCCTCCTGGAGATCTACCTTCCTGCAGAGTTCAGTTCCATGTGAAATGCTGCCTCATCTTCTTACTTAATACTCAAGTATCTGATCCAGCCAGTCAAGGACTTAATTATAAAGATGTTAACCATCTGGAGCAGGTGTGGCAGATAGTGGCTGGAACTTGACTCTGAAGGAAGGTAGATTTCCAGGACCAGGGATGGTGACCGCTGCTTTAAGATGTCATTTGAGATCTGTTCACTTAACAGAAGATCACCAGGAAGGACAAGTTTTATCTACACCTTAAAATGTAATTTGAATGACAATCTAACATCCAATATGTCTGTCAAAAAGTGATGATCTCAGTACTCATTAGCTGAGAAGTTCAATCAAGATACACCTTGTGATATTTTAGAAAAACTCCATAGATTGTTTAATACAACATACCATATTTTCAACAATTCAACATCAATAAAATTGTGTTAATTAAAAAAAAGAAAAAAAATGAAAAAGAAATCTGCATATTACCTTTATTGCACAGAACAATTTGAACATATTTTTTTTTTCATCGTTTTAGATCTCCAATAAAATAGAATGTCATGGACCACATTATTCGACATAGTCTTTCTCGTCTTCTCAGAACTGAAGGAGCGGCTGCGGGACGAGCGTGGTAGCGGGTTTGGAGGTGTAAAACAGAAAGAGCATCAGCAATGAGCATTAGGAGGAGAGCGTGAGCGCCGCACTCCTGTGTGTAAGGGGGATTTGCTCTAAAGCAGATCACTATGGCTGAAACCATCTGTCCTCCTCCACCATCTGTAGACCCCATCAGCACTACAAAACAATTACTCCAGCATAACCCACTTAACCCATAAACCAACACCCAGCTCACAGTCAATCTTTATAAAGAGCCTGGCTGTATCCCCCTCACATCCTCAAAGCTCCTATACCCACACACGAAGGGCTTTACTAGGGTAAGGATCTCACACATACACTGTCCTGGAAAGCCAGCAACAACATCATTATCTTTAACCAACTGTGCTACTCACGTTAATATAGTCAGTGTTTTCACTGTTTCTCAGTCAGATTAAATGAACTTGTTTGGGACTGTTTTAGGAATGTTTATTTGGATAATGTTAGAGGGAGATTTCTTCAAAAAAAGAAAAAAAAAAAACTTTCTTTCTGGACCATTAGATTTTTTTTTAATTGTTAGAGGCAGCATTTAAACATGTCAGGGTTGTTAAGCACATTAACATTTTCTTTTTTTTTTTCTTGAGTTTGTGAGGAATCACCACTCATTCACTGCTACATGGATTAGTCAATGATGTACAATGATATTATAAAACTATAAAGCTTTTAATCCATAGGTATGAAGCAGGGGGTGATGTGTTACACAAACATATAGTGGCATTAACAAATACAGCTGCAATTACTGCATTCCTTACGCTTCCATATTCTGTTCACATTGAGATAACAGCACTAAAGCACTCTACGCCCTTACGAATTGACATTAGTCATACACACCATATTAGTCTACATCAGAGTTACTTTCTGGCTAATGTGTCAAAAGTCAAAGCTCAAAGGAATTAAACAGCAGTAACAAAATAACTATTACAATGTGGCTCTCTTGAGCAGCTCTTTGCTTTCTGTTAGACCCACAAATAGCTGAATATTCAGAATCAGCATTGAAGGATTAGTTTCTAGACACTTCCAGATATACAATAAGACAAATCTAATGTGAACACTGTCAAATCCTTATGCTGAATTGGCCTATCCACAACCAGAACCTTACAGAGTACAAGGAAAAACACACTGAAGGAAAAGAAGATAATGTATATGTGGAGCCAAAGGACTAGATATTTGTGTTTTTGCACAAAAAAATGAAAATTAAAGGCTGCGAATGTCAAACTTAATTTAGTTTCTACTTCATAATTCAAGCACCAATGCTAGTCAGAATGTAAATGAAGGGGAATGAGAACAACAACAAATTCTCAACAGTAAGTTGCTGTAGTAAAAAAAGAGCTGAGTATAAAGTCTAACTACCATGTCATCCAATTTGAGAAGCCAGTGTTTGATATACCTAGCATCAGCAACAGTGTGTGGCCATGGACAGGTGAACTATATGGCAGGAATGGTCCGCAACATATGGTATATTTCATACAGCACTGCACCGGTTAATGTGCTTATCAACCCAGAAATGTCTTCTTTTGCTGTTTCATAAAACTATTTCAGTTTGGATATTAAAAAGAAATCATACAAAAACAGATAATGCAGGCAAAAGGACAGCGAAGGAGGACGATGGTCTGTCTTTTGTATTTTGACACAAACATTGAGAAGGGTTCAGTTTTAGTCTTTTATAGGTATCCTTTTGCCCATAAAAATCCACTGGAACTTGAATGTTTTACAACAAAATTCTCTTTCAAAGAAATGGTCCCTGAAGGCCAAGCAGAAAATGCCATCACAGAAGAGTGTGGTATCTTTTCTCCCCTCTTATTTTCAACATCAAACAAAAACGAAGAACTTTTGTGCCACATATCCATCTTTAGAACAGAGAGGAATGAAACACGCGCACTTCCTCTGCGAGAAAGTCCCAGGATCCAGAGGCTAGTCAGGGAGGGGATCTCTTATTTTTACTATCGTTCTGTGTTTACAGTGTCTTTTGAACTGCCTGGCTGGATTAAATCATTTTCATGTTAAACTTGCGAGGAGCATCAGCAGTACTGCTGCTTATCCCTGCGTCTGATTTCCGCGGTACATACTCAATCTCGATGTTGTGTTTGGTGTTACCTTTACCCCTGCTCCACAAAAACAGCAGCACCAGGCAGAATAATACCACACCAAGGAAGGAGATGAAGCCCATGGTGGTGGCAATGATAAGGGTCTTGATATCGAAGGGGAATGGGACTGTTTCTTTTGTCCCATTAGCTCCACTGTCATTGGGCTGGTTGGAGATGAAAGCAAAGGTTTTGTTGGGTTGGTTGGGCCAGTCGGGAGAGTAGCTGTGGACGTGGAGATGAGCAAGAGCAGTGTCATTTCCACCTGCATTACTTGCAATGCACACGTAGGTGCCGTTGTCCTGGATCTGAGCGTAGCGCACCTCTAGAGTACCATCAGGAAACACAGTAAGCCTTCCTATCGTTTTCGTAGTGATGAACTGTTTCTGTGGAGAAAGCCACATGATGACCGGGGCTGGATCTCCATCAGCCTGGCACACGAACTGGACCGTAGTTCCCTCGTCCACAAACCTCTGCTGTGCCTTGCGTTCCCGGATCCTGGACTTGCGACACGTAAAGTAATTTGGTTGCAAGATGTCTGGGAAATCTTTGAACTCCTTACCCTGTACGAACTCAGGTGAGGCACACGTGGGCTGCTGCCGGTTGAAATTGAGCCTCCAGCGGCGGCGGAAGATCCAGAGAAGCCTACAGTCGCATGCCAGAGGGTTATCGTACAGCACAAGGGTCTCCAGGTTCCCCACTGAGTGGAAGACCGATTCCTCCAGAGTGGTCAAGGAATTCCCAGACACATTCAGGACCTTCAGATAGTTGAGTCCTCTAAAAGAGTACGGCTCAATCATCGTCAGCCTACCGCCCACCAGGTGAAACTCTTGAAGTCTGAGCAGGTCGTGGAGCTTGTTGCCCTCAATGATGACGATGGGGTTGTAGGACATGTTCAGAAATCGTAGGTAAACCAGATGCCGAAGGGCCACATAGGGAATCGCAGTCAGATTCGAGCTGGCGATGGTTAGGGATGTAAGATTCAACCCATACAAGCAGTTGGTGGTCATAGTATCCAGATATGGCCAATTGGCAATCTCCAGAACTTTGAGTCGGTAGAGGCGTTTGAAGGAGTAGTCTCTGATGCTGTTGATGTTGAGGTTGCGCAGACGCAGAGTGTTGAGGCTGTGCAGGTGAGTAAAGGCCTCCGTTGGAACAGAGGTCAGGTTGCACTTCTCCAGAGTCAGGTGTTCCAGGCTGCTGAGGCCATGGAATGCTCGGTGGGATATAAACACCAGGTCATTATCACCCACTTCCAGAGAGCGCAGGTTATACAGATCCTGGAACATGTAGTCCAACAGAATAACTATCTTATTCTCACTGATGTCCAGCCTAGTGAGGTTACTGAGGCCTGTGAATACGCCCAGCTGGATAAGCTTCAGCTTGTTGCTGCGCAGCCCAAGAGTCCGTAGGCCATACAGGTTGTTAAAGGCTCCAGGCTCAATGGTGGAGATGGTGTTTTCATTCAGTTCCAGCTCTTCCAAGTTGGGAAAGCCAGAGAATTCCTCAGGGTTGATAGTTTTGATGCGGTTCTTGCTGAGGTCTAGAAACCGTGTCTCGGATGGGATCCCCTCGGGAACCGACATCAGCTTTTTACGGTGGCACACAACGGAGCGCTCCTGGGCATTACACTCGCAGCGGGACGGGCAGCCAGTGGTCGAGCCAGACAGTACAGTGCCCAGCATCAAAATTAGGATGGGCTGCCAGCACGCCACCAGGTAGCTGTGCCCACTTGCTTCCCCTGCCACCATCCTACCGGTTACCTGCACAGAGAAAGAGAGAGAGAAAGAGAGAGCGAATTTTATAGGGGTATTCAGTTTAATCTAGGTAAATATACTGTTCATTTTCAATGTTGTTACTATGTTTTTAATGGTCATTAATTGTGTATTGTAACTAGTAATAGTCTTCTGACTCATTTTATTAAATCTTCATTTTGTGAAATCATACTTAAGAGTTTTGAAAATATATTGTTTCCTATCTCCTATTTATTAAACAGCAGAATAGCACATAAGGCAGAAAGATTTATTGTTTTTATATCAAAATAGCAATTTAAAAAAATGTGATTTTCAAACTGCAAAAGCTCCTATTTTAATTACAGTCCACATTATCACCACTGTTGTCTAAAGGTTTAAGTGGGGAAATCTGACCTGATAATATGGAGCTTGTGAGCTGCCTAAAGATTATTTAGACAAGTAAAAAGCAACCAAACACCCATGTGCTATCTATGTGACAACACAGCCACAACTACCTGGCCGGAAATCTCAGCTATAATGCCTCAAGCCAGAAAAAAAAGATTTTCTAGTCTTCATTGCCAAAATAACAGGCCTAGACCTTACTTTATTAAAAAAAAATAATAAAAACTATTGCCATTTAAATCACAGTCACATTATTGGTCAGGAAAAATAGACGCTGAACAGTCAGTTCAATAATATCCTACTACTCAGAAACAACAAAATGTCAGATATAAGATTCATGAAATTACATTCTTGACCAAGATACAACTACACGTATTTCACTGCAATATTCATGAAGACTGAGCAGACAAGAACAAGAGGGGAGCTGCCACAGAAAGGTATGTGTGTGTGCTTGCATAATAGCGAGAGCTGACATATTTGGATTCTGCCTTGCGTCCCTCCCAAGCTTAACTTCAAAGGCCTTCTGCACGCAGAGGCTCCTATTTGTGGATGGAGTGGAGATTTTAGCAGGAATGAGTGCATTGCATCACCAAGGCAGCATATTCATGACATGCTCTAAAGCTGAAATGTAGATGAAGAGCTGAGCAGTGTGTTATAGACGTTACTAGCACCGTATTCCATGATTACACTTGTGTCCTCACCATGCAGCTCTATCTCTAAAACCACAGCACTGCTCCGCACTAATCACTGGATGCACATTTGCTAATATGAAATGACGGCATTGTAGAACAGGGCAGGTGCCGGTGGTATTATCAGCATTGCTCAGAGAGTAATCCAATTCATGCGGTGTCAGGCTGCAGGTATGGACTAACAGCTCTGGCACAGACCATCTGCATCAACTCAGCTCAGACAGGAGAAAAAGAAGAGGAGGAGAATAACAGAGAGGGAGAGGACCTGGAAAAGGGAAAGGGTGGATTTGAATAATTAAAGACAAACAGTGCTAGTGGTGAAAAATATGTCACTGTTAGCAGAAGAAAGCTCCTACTACTGCAGTCAGCTGACCGTGGAGGAGACTGTGGGGATTCATCTAACTGAATTCAGCTCACATTGCCTTAACGGCCCAGTACGTGTAGATCGCATCACAAAAACCATGTTTTGAAGAATACAGATCATCTCAGAGAGTGTGAGGAGGTGACTGCAGTCACTGGTGTGCACAATAACCTCACATAAACTTGCACAAGCTACGCCTCCCACTTATATATGCCTCCTAGTGGAGGCTCTGTCTTTTGAAGATAACTGTGGGCCACTTGTCCAAAAATCCCCAAGAGCAAATTAAAAGGTCCCCTCATCAATTTTCTGTCTCCTACCAATGCTGCAACTTCTCATAACAAAACCTGTAAGCTTGCTACAGAATGCATTACTGAGCTGCTTATAGAGTGAGTGATCACATACACTCACAGAAAGAGTCCCTTCAATATGCCAAAAACAGAAATGTAATTTTCCTGGCATTTTTAAGTAGAGGTAGACTGAGTTTAGTCAAGGTTTGGTTGAGGTGAGACTAGCTGAGGGCAATGGCCAGAAAGCACTTGAACTTTTAATTATCAATTAGTTCTTAATTAGCAATATGACAATATTTATCATCATCTTGACAAAATGTGTCACACCATGTTCTTGTTTTCTGATCATATTTCATATCTTGGATATTGTCAGTAGTTTAGGAGACTGGCATGTTGCATTAGAAAGACAGCATATTTACTCCTTTTGAATTGAGTTCAGTGCGTGTGAAACCTTGAATAAAAATCACTGTATTTAATGTTTTGATGACATTTTTGAAAGGTCTATATCTTTTTCTATTCTAATTTTTCTCTCTGAGGTCCACTTTTCACATTTGAAAGGATGTAAACTATGTTCAGTTCTGACTGGCTGCCCTGTATTGTACCTCATTCAAAAAGCAGCCTGGGCTGAAACACTTCTTATGACTTCAGTGTGATTGGGCATGACTAAACTGCTGTGGGCTGAATAGGTGAATATATGTAAATTTGGTGGTTTTCGTGGCATTACAGAAACAATGAATTCAAAACGATCTGTTTTTGCACCTGGTTTCTGTGTATAGACCATATAGACTAAAGAGTCAACTTTAGCTTTTTTTAATGTTTAACAGTGTTTACATACTACTCAGACTTGTTAATGAAAAAAAGAGGAAAATTCAGTTTTCCATGGAATTGTGCCTTTTAACGTGGCGCCACTGTCGCTTTTTTGCCTGTTCCAACTGACCAAACCTCAGAAAAATGAAATATCGTGACACATATTGTGTAATATGTCTTGAAGTATTGTGATGTTACATTTTTGTCATATTGTCCACCTCTACACTCAATACAGCTGAAATGTACTGGCATGCAGTAAATATAAATTCAATGATGCCAAAAAAAACTGTTGGCTGGTATATTCACAACAACATTCAGCCCCAAAAAGGACAGATGAGAACTTCAGTAGCAAAGCATGTTGTTTGTGGCAATCCAAAGAAAACAAAAAAATGCACCACCTGTCAGAATACACAAGTCACAATCCCTCTTAAACACTGTAGCTAAATACCTGTGATCTGTAGAGGAATCCCTCTAAGACTGCTGTCACTGCTATTAGAGCTGAGAGTTAAGAACGTAAGCCATGGCAGTCTCACCAGCACTGCTCACACGGCCTAATCCTGCTCCTGTTTCACGTCCTTCTCCATTTGCATCGCTTTGAAACTCCATTTCATAATCATATGCAGCACTCATGTGCAGTGAGAGCAAGACTGACAAATTAATTTTAACACCCACCCTCCATTATCTCTCCTTCATTTCATCACCAAATGTTATTTAACTCCTGCACCTTTCTTGCTTTGGGACTCAACACATAAGGGAGAATCCATTCTCATTTTACTTGAAGAAGTAGAAAAAACAGGGGAACAGTGAAGTTTCTTTGAGCATAAAGTGACAAATGATGGATTAAAGTTAATGCATGAGAGAAGTCCATTCTCGTCTTTCCAAAGGCACCAGTTGCTCATGCATTTGAGTGATTCTAAGGTTTTAATCATCTCCAAATCTCAATATGGTCTAACACCTGCCTACATCAATTAGTGCTGTTCTATTCTACTTCAGACAGGGCTTGAGACTGTCTAATACTAACCTTTAAAGCATAAAAATAGCACAGAGCAGGAGTATTGAGCGCAAGCCTTGAGGACCCCAGCACTGGAAAATTACCCTGCTTTAACCAGACTGAACTCATCAGCTAATTATCAAACCCCTTATGAGTTGGATCAGTTGTTTTACAGCAGCCTCCAGTTTAAAAGGGCCCATATTACATAAAACCGTATTTTCCTCACTTCTAGGAATTAAAATAGTTTAATGTAGTATATAAACATTGTGAAAGTTTTCAAAATGTACCGTTTACTTTCCAGTACATACGGTCCATATTTAGAAACTAGGCAGCATAAACATTGAATTCTTTTTGAATTCACTATTTTTGTGGTGACACAAAAACAATGGGCCTCATTTACCAACTGTTCTTAAGAAGAAATTTCTTCTTAAAACCCACTTATGCACTTTTCACCACGATTCTGTCATTCACCTTTTCTTATTTGGAATTTGTTCTAAAGTAAGAACTGAATCTACACACTCAAGAGCATAAAGGTGTGAATAATTCTGTGGTTTAAGAACACATCATCAATCTGACATAAGACATGTTCTTAGGCCCTTTCTCAAGAACAAATTTGAGAAAAAAACTCAGGAAGATATTGGTGAGTGAGGCCCAATGCATTTAAATGCTCTATTCAACCTATAGCAGTTTAGCTCATCCCATTTACACTGTTGTAAGTTATAAGGAGTGTTTCAGCCAGGGTTGCTTTTTCAATGAGGCACATTACAGGACAACCAATCAGAACAGAGGTCATTTACATATATCAGCCTTAAACAGCCTGTTTCGTTTTATTGCAGCATTCACATTTTGGCAGAAGACAATGGCAAATCGGATATTCCATTGTTTTCAATGGAGCTATGACAGAAAATTCTGCCAGCTGCAACGTTCCACAGACCACAGCGGTGAGCAGAACGTTCTCACAAGAGCTCAATTTTCCCAACTTCTGCAGTGAAGTAAACCGAACGTAGTTTTTTTTTACTGAACTATGGATGCCAAATGTCTGAATTCCAAACAAAGCAAGTATTAAACCAAAAAATAAGTGTCTTCCTGCAGTCTTTCACCTGAAATAAACAGTATACACTGCTAAAGATCTCCTCTGATAATCATCCATGTCACCATGCCAGCATTTACATTGCTTTTTGCTGCTGTCGGTCGCGTACTTCATCTTTTTCAATGTGACATGTAAATCCAGCATACTGGATGAAGAGAGGATGGAAATGGTCGTATAAAAATGAATCATGTCTGTTTTGTTACAAGACAAGTGTAGGATATGGGTCTCTTTCCAAATGGAGGAAACTCATCCATTAAAATTAGATCAGCTGGCATGTTTTAATATCTTAATGACTTCTTGCGAACAAAAAACTAATGACTCCTTCATCCTATACTGTTTAATAAAGCACTCTGGAGCATCAGTTACATCAGAAAGGCACTTCATAAATAAAGTAATATTATTG